AGCTGGTTCTGCAGATTAATCTCTGCCCACCCTTGTAGGTGACGGATGTGGGTTGTGTTAGAATAAATAAAGAGTAATTACCAGTCTGGTGCGGCGCGGTGCCGCTGCCGGCTGGAAAGTACATGGCCATGGCACAAGGAGCACAGCGCCGCGCCAGCCGCACCTGCTCAAACACTGATGGCATGCTCACGTGCGTCCTCGTGGCGCGGTCTGAGTCCCACCTCACCAACCCTTTGTTAAAAAAGGCTTAGGTTAGATTCTAACCTAATCTAAACCATTTTCTCTTCTAAGTGAGACTGGCAAAAAAACACTCGGATTGCGATCTTCAAACATAATTAATAATTTGGACTATTCCATTTTATAGTTTGGGCAGCAAAGAAAAAAATAATAAGCGCAGATCTTTGTGTGGAATCGTACGCTGAAAGGCAAGGTCATGAAATCGAAATAAAAAAATACATAAATATTTATTTAAATCGATGGTAAAATATTCCCGAGGGCAGCCGGGGAGCGCGAGTGACGTGAGCCTGTCGCGCGCCGCAGCTCGCACAATTTATATTACTATTGACCAGCCCCGGCTTCGTCCGGCTACCAGAGCATATGAATTTTAATTTATTTCCTGTCATATCAATAATAGCCTTACCGGTGATGTCCCGTTGCAGTAGTAAAAACCTTGTAAACTTACAAAACACTGGACGCAAAGCCCTTATTTCTTTTAAATTTCATTCAGCTCCTTCATTTTCTGTCTAACGAAGGGATCTAATATCGAAGAAGATTAGCAACTGTTAGTTTCCAACGGCCTGGGCGTTAGCTTCCTATCAAGATAAAATGTAACCTAATTATGTTACATTTACTGGGAAATACCGACACATCTTGTTATTTAGTTAGTACCATTCCAACGGACCAACACCCTAGCATGTCTAGTAAATATTCTGTCACGAAAATGTATTTCCATTTAGAAAAGACTCGAGGTCCGTGAGAAAACACATAGGAAATAAACAAGGCCACTCGTTGCTCACAAGTTACAAGTCAAAGAATTTCTTCTTTCGGTGCTTGCATTGGATTATTCCCTATATACACAAATCCCATTTGTGTGGTTTCCAATGATTGTACTGTATCACAATAGAATGTGATGAAATAGGTCAGAGTAATACCGGGTAGTTCCATAACGAGCAATAAAAGCGATCGGATGAATATGTTTTTTAAGATACCTAGTTAGTTGTTATTGTGGAACAGAGTTGAACGCTGAAGCTAAATGATTTGTGTCGACGGCGAGTTGATAAAGATAATGCAGCGATGACATTGAACACGTCCACTTGTATTTCAAATAATACGAGAACGGTTGGACAAAAACTGCTGATAAAAAGGTCACGCCGAGCTCTACCGTAGCCGCCAGTGAGACAACAGATGAGAAACGATACCACATTTTCAAGGGACAGATTGAAACCCCGCCAGGCGCTCACTAACAACGGCAAGTACATTCTCTGCCACCTAATTCATTCACGACTTAACACCCATGACATTCATCTTGGTTTATTGGCCATGTAGTTGATTAGTACTCAATGAATATGATTTCATAATAACTCACTTCATTTTGAACCGAGTTCAAGAACGGTTTTCCATCTTTCTGTGTGCGTATTTTTGGTTTTGTATAGTATATGTGCCGTTCGGCGTGCGGTGTGCGGCGTGCTGCGTGCTGCGTGCGGCATGCGGTGTGCGGCGTGCGCCGGGCGGCATGCGAGCAAATGTCCACTGATAAACAGTTCTAGCACGTTCTTGTGGAACCTCATTGAAATTTAAATAAGCGATTAAATACTGGGAGCGACTAGCTACCGACTGCCAGTGCAGTAGTTAATGCACAGAGCAGTAAGTTGCAAGCAGTGCGACCACCGCCCGTGCGCTCGCCCGCGGTGCTCGCTCGCCATATCCACGCCTTGCGATAATATCTCACAATTTAATCTGGCTGAATTTAATTTAAAAGGATCAAACAAACCTAACTAAATTGGGGAAAGAAGAAAAAATAGTTCTTGGTGGTAAAAATTATTTTATATATTTAAAATAGCTGTCGCCCGAGACTTCTGTCGGCCGAGTTGAGAATAGTTAGTAACCGATTCTTATCAATATTGAATATGTATATAAATTTTCATAAAAATTGGTTAAACCGTTTCAGAGGAGTATGATAAGTAACATTGTGACACAAACATTTTATTATAAGTTAAATCGAGCTAGTCGAGCAAATTTTTTTTAATACGGATAGCAAGTAAGAGATCCCTTTTCCTCGAGCGTATTAGAATGAACATTGCTATACCACTGTACAATCAGATGTAGCGGCACGGCAACGGCACTGCCGACTATAAGCTTAACGAGTTGTTGCACTGGCGCTTGTCGTGGTCTGTGGCGCACGCTCGTCCGGTCGCGGCCACGTGTGCGCGTCTCGTTTTTTATTTTCCACACTTGTGTTCACAAAGGTTATGTTCCGCATCTAGCTGCTCACCACTAACTGGCACATGCTTGTTGCCTTCTTATAAATCTAAAGGTAATTTGTAGAAATTATTAAAACATTTGAACGTCACTCAACGATACCTGATTATTTGTGTATATTTTTGATAAACCCATCAATGTAATGGCGTTCGTTGACGCTATACCACTTGCACACAAATGTCTCGTGACTTGCAGAGAACTTAACCTTTTTTTTGTTTGAAGCAACGTAAATACATACCTCATTTTCGCGATATAACAAATATTTTGTTTACTACAACAGTGGGCTCATATTATTAAATGAATACAATGAGACAAAATGAGCGCATAACAGCTAGTCGAGTCGAGCGAGTCTCCTGCACGCCCCCTGCTCCTCCACTCCGCACGCCTATACGTTAATGCTATTAAACTAGTTCGTTCCGTAGATACGGTATAGGTTGAGGTGACGAGGTTGTCGCGCCGGAGCCGCACCACACCTCACTTCTAACAGATGCCTAAGCTCGACGAGAAAAAACTTATTAGCAATTTAAATTAACTAATCTTACAAGAAAAAACCTTATAGCTACGAAATGTTTTCTTTGGGAATAATTTGGAGGACGTGCGCAGTGTTACGTCGACATAAACAGTATTTATTCTCTCACGGAGCCGTATTCTAGTTTTGTCAAATGGCCGCATTATACAACACGATAGCACACAATCTTATGAAACGCGAAATCGTTGAGAAGTTACAGCGAAAGAACAAAAATGGTAATTTAACAACGAAGCTACACATTTATAAATGACTAGGTGCGAGCGAGGGCGAGGGCAAGGATCGGTCGGGGAGCGGGTCGGGCGGGGC